TAGCAGGGGGCAACACGAAAACCGCCCCGACACCTTTGTCCTCGTCGACAGTCGCCGCGTGCTCAGGGTCTTCCACGTGCTTCCTTTTCTCTGGTTGTTTGGGAGGCGGATCCTGGGCCCCTAGAGGGGAAGATGAATTGTTTGGACGAGCAAAAGCTTTGACTTGTTCATGAAGTTGGGCAAATCGAGTTTTGGGCGCCAAGTGTGATAGATTCTTGGACCTTAACTTGAGAAAACGTTCAGAGAGAGTCACCATTTGGCCTGTAATCAAAAAAAATTGTTAATTCATGATACAAAAGTACGAACATGAAATTACAGGCACGTCCCCTACTAGAAGTCTCAAAGCCTCCTCATAAGAGGAGCACTCAAGGAGCGCTTTCGTGTTAATCAGTCGGGGAACAAAGATATGCTCCCTTTTATCGTCAAAGAGGAAGTTATTGTCTATATCTACTCACTTTGTCGGGGAGAAGCTCTTAACATAAGTCATTATCTTGTCGTAAGAGAGCTTATCCCAGGCATCTAAGTCCTCAGGCTTCACCATATAATACTCAGACTTCCGCTCAAAATGTTTCCATTGCCACTCAAGAGGAAACTCTGCCATCAGTCGAGCCACTATCCTACCATGCTCGACCTCTTCCGAGAGGTTGATCAAAGAATCCACGACCTCACCAGTAAGAGGCTTCATGATGAAATACCCCTCTTTGAAGTTGCGCACATATTCAAGGTACGGCCAGAAGAGTTTTCCGAACTATTTGAGCGACACCCAGACTTGTCGCCCTCCAATGGTCTTCCTTTGTAGGTGAAAGATACGAAAGAATAGGGTCAAAGTGGCACTAATATGGAGATATTGTCATACTATCTCGAACGCCCTCATAAACGCGAGCACATTCGGATGAAGCTGGGAGGGTTCCAGTTGCAACCATTGGAAGACCCCCACTTAGAAATCATTGAAGGGAAAATGCATCCCCACTTCTTTAAAGGCAAACTCGTACATAGGGAAGTGTTTTCCTAAGAATGACGAGCATATCCTCCGACTTTGATGAGGGATTTGAAGCACCCAATTGGCAGGGGCACCCTCTGCTTGGTTCTCGAGGACATTGAATGCATCAAAAGCGTCCTTCGAAAAACACAACCTTTTACTTTGAGGCTCAGGCGCGACCCAAGCCAAAGGATCGTCTGCGACCACAACGTCACCCTCGTTGGTATCGGGCATGATTTCTTCCTCGGCTAGTTGTGCCATCGTACCTGAAAAGTAGGGGAAAATAGTAAATTCAACATCATCAAACTCACCATTCCACCGTGAATCAAGTGAAAGGGAGATGAATGCGTCGGGAAATGGTCCTCGACCCAAGCCCTTGATAGTGAATGCCAAAGAGGTTGACACCCTACGTGGGGATATTTCATCGAACGAGCAAGTTTCCTAAATCCTCCCCACTATATGGGGGGACGACCCCGGCGTAAGTCAGAACGAAATTCTAGACCTATGAATCTTCATCCACATCCATGAACCTAGATGAACATCCATGGAGGTTCATTCCAGAACCCATGAATCTTCATCCAGAGGTTCATCCGTTCATGGCAAAACCCAAGTGTTTAATCTAAAAAGATAAGAAAAACTCGATCAAGATGAAATTACTTACTTGGAGAAATGAACGTGAAAGCGTCTACGGCAGCATGGGAGAAACAGAATAACAGGAAAACTCGGGAGAGTAGGCGGAGAGAGAGCTTGAAAATGTCAAATGAATCACTGATTCCCCTTTTTATAGATAGTCCCCACCACACGGGGTAGCATGTGAAAATTCATCATTACTTGGACTCTTAGACTGTCCTAGGCAAGAATGACATCCCAAACAGCTGCCACGTGGGCCTCGCGAAAGGACACGTAGTTGACAATAGTGTCACACGCAAAGCCACACACTTTCTTCATCTCATCCTCGTTGTCGGACAAAAGCTCGACACCATCGCGACGCTTTACTTGCGGGCACATCGAGGGCGCGAACACAGGGAAACTCATCGCCTCCCCGCAGACGTAGATCCCAACAGGCACCACAGTGATAGGATAGGAGACGAAGTCGACCAAGGGAACTCTACTCGAATAGATCGATCACACCTATGAATCCTTGACATGAAACACGGAGCCGTCCCCGACGGGAGTTGACAGTTTCCCCTATCAGGCAACACCTCCCCGGGACTCGAATTGATCTCAAATCATTACCCTTTCGCCAAAGGGCAATAACTTGGAGGACTTATGTTTTGGGTCGGGCCAACACTTTCCTCACTGTTGGGAAGGTCTAGTCCAAGGCCTCTTCCTATAGCCCAATAGCTTCAGGCCCAAGTCAGATGGTCGTTGGGGACTTCCCCCACATGCCCATTAGAGAACATGTCCCTAGCCATCATCAACATCACCTGCCCTCCGAGAATAACAGGTCCATTGTCCCTATATTCTCGGGCGCTTTACCAGGGAAGAGGTCACGTGTTGGACCCTATTACCCACGTAAACCTTGGCAGTCCTTGTTATTGGCCCCAAATCACCTGGTCCACTACATGAATCTTGGCCCAATGCTAAGGGCTATAAATACTCTCTCACGTGAGGGGGTTAGGTATCCATTCATTCATTTATTCTATCTCACCTACTTTAATTTCTCTCGCTTTGAACCTCACTTTGGCGTCATAGTGTCTTGCAGGTAACTCCCCTCCCCCCCCCCCCCCCCCCCCCCCCTTCACATTCAACCGTTGCTTAACTTGAAGCTCGTGGGCCTTGACGATCTCTTCTGATCAAGTACGATTAGTTATTAACATTTTTCTAGTTTCATCAGGACGGATAATTGATTTAAAAGGAGACACTTATATCTCAACATTTTCTTTAGGCGATGTTATTTTAATAACTTCTAAGAGTGTATGTATTAAGCTAATAGTTTCTTTCTTAATTGTTTCCACTGAGTAGTAATCATGGTATTAACGTCTAAAAATATTTTATTAGCGTAGGGATTTTTTATTTTTCTTCTTCTGAACAATATAATTCAAACCAAATAAAAAATATGTATTAATTTCGTAATAATTTAAAAATTCATAAAAAATTTCTAAATATAATTTTAGTAATGTTTTATCAAAAGAAGAGAAATATCAATTCCTCTTTCCTTTATTATAATATGAGTTAAACTCATTTCTAATCCATATTTTATCAATGATTAAAGGATATTCTCTAGTTAGGGTACCTAAAACTTGTGAAGCAGTAGGTGAAGGTGACCTAGAGGTTTCCTCTTGATAAATTGGGATAGGAACGTCAGGATTGAAGTCCACTACGGCTAAATTAATTCTAATGGTAGAATCAATTGACCGTCTAGCAAAGGTTTTGTCGCTAGAGGAAGTACTAACGCTACTTGAAGCGTAGTATCAGTGGGATTGACTCATATTCATTCTAATCCTAATAGATCTGCCAATGTCTTGAATGACATCTCTAATGGTTCTAACTTTTAATTTATCAGTTTTAACAACATCTCTTAGTATCCATTCTTCTGAAAGCTTATTAATTATATTTGAAGCGGTTAATATTTTTGGGGTCATAACATTTGATTTACTCAAATTTGCTTCTATAGTACAAGTCTCGTTTCTACGGGTTGATTTTAAAGATTTAAAATCATAATTGACCTTAAAAATTTTATATGTTATTCTACTAAATGACATCTATATTGACAACTCCAGGATTAAAAGTGTCTTCAAGAGTTTGAACATAGATAACTAAAGAGTTTGATGTAAACTCGTTAGATAGGCCCATGCTAAATTTTGGATGGCAGTTAAAATAAACTGGACCATCATTTAAGTTGGACTCAACTACGACTATAGTTGAATTATAAAAATCCTTTATTCTCGTATCTCGTAAAACTAGAAGGATTAGAGTATTCAATTATAATTTATTTAAAGGTTTTATAGCCACTTATATTAATCTTAAGTGAATATACTTGTAACATTCACGATAATGTTTTTCTAATAGATTTTTATTTAATAAGTTTATGGTTTCATACTTACTACTAATAGTAATTGCCGACTCAGTTGTATGAATAATTTTTTATATATTAAAATTCAAAGATACTAATTTTTTATATATTAAAATTCAAAGATACTAATTTTATATATTTCTTTTAATTTAATTTCTGGTTTAGACCAATTAACTGATCAACTCTTCATTTCTTAAATCTCTAATCCATGATTTTGAAAATTATCAGAATTTAATTCATGATCGACTCTTCATTTCTTAAATCTCTAATCCATGATTTTGGAAATTATCAGAATTTAATTCATAGTTGGTAGTACTAAAAGACACAGGACATAAGACCATGTTATTAGTACTTCTACGACTATTATTTCTCAATTCGCTCAAAGCCCTTAAGATTTGAGACATAATTCAATATAAATTATCTTTCAAGAAAATTTTCTAAATAAACTTAGTATTTTAAAGTCACTAGTCTTCTTCTTAACTCTATTCCACCCCCTTATAGTTTATTTTTTTGGACTATAATTACAGTGAACTAAACCAACGGTGAGACCACTCACTACTAACACGTACACTAACAAGATTCAAATGTCAGGTTAAAGGTTGAAGTTCAAAGAAAATATCAACTTTAAAAATACTAAATTTATACTTTTAAAAACTTCTTAAAAATAATTACATCAAACCGATATATATATATTGTGACGACTATACCTTTCCTTGTAATAATGGAACAACAAAATGGGTTACCACATGCTTGGATTTTGGTCATAAGTAGCAACCATTATGATTATTGAAATTTTACTTTATATTATATATATACAACAAAAAAATCAACAACGTTTGACAATTGCACAAAGTATAAAGAATAAGAGTGTCCGTGTGGAAACAATACAACATTCATCTTCTACTTCCACATTTTCCCTCAGCTCAGCAATGAATGATTTTCGTAGGTAGAATACCAAAAGAAAAAACAACAAAAATTTATGATATAATCACCCAAACAAAACTTTTAATTTGCTTCAATGTCTCTATTTCCGGCCGCAACTTTGCGGTGGCGCTTAGAACCCGGTCTCTTATCTTTTCCGCGCCTTCCAGGGCCTCTCCTAGTTATTGGAATAACAACTCTTTCTTGTGTATTTTCAAGCAGTGGAGGAGGGGGAGACAAGAGCGGCGGTGGAGGGTTGAGAGCAACAACCACTGGCGCAGCTAGCCGCCCTAATACACCCCTATGGTATTTCTGTAAGCACAAAAAAGATTTGATTACAGTTATGTAAGTGAACCTTATATGGGAGTATATGCTTATTAATAACTTTGCATTCATTTTATCTTGATTTCAAATAATTTGTGAAGAGAATGGTGCAAAAATCAGATATATTAAAGATCAAACAGATGGATATGGATTCTCGCTTCTCATAAGCCAAAAGGCTACAAAAGTATCTCTGCAAATACAGAACTGTCGCGTCCGAGATATTTTATACAAACAAAATAAAACAATTACCTGAACTACGAAGTTGCGTCTTTCACAATCCAAGAACATGTGAAAATGAAAATCCACCTGTGACAAAAATTTGTCCCGGACAGTTGAGAAACTAATCTGATCCCTAGAAGTAAATCGGTCAACTTCGCCGAACCAAAGACAAGTAAAGAGGTTGCTAATAGGAACATGCTCTCGTATTATTACACATCCTTCAGGAACATCTGCACTTGAGCATTATCAAGGTTGAGAAAAATAGTCAAAGTTGAACTAGATGAGTCTTATCCCCTAAGGAAACAAAGTTTAACCTACCACTTATAAGAGGAAATTTGGCCTCCGAATACGGAGTCAGTCCCTCGTTTTTGTAAAAATCGATCTGGAAGTCAATGGAGGCATTATCATACTTTGCAGCAGCTTTATTTGCTTCGGCCTCAACAAATACATCAAAGCGTCTATAATGTTTGGATATTGCAAAAGTTGCATTGGTCCTCCACAAAAACCTAGTTGAGGATAAAGAGTAATTTAGGAGCCAAAAAATGATTTTTATCCATACAGAGCAAAAATATAGCTATTACAAAGTCAGAAAATGCAGGGACATATCCCAATTAGTAAACAGGAAAATCAAATAATAACTCAACTTCGATTTTCACCCAGGATGAAAAACAAGACTTGGCATAAAGAGAAGGATCCGAAGAATGAACAACAAAACTAATGTTTAGGGAAATTATTATGCAACGAAAAGTAAAAAAGATGAAGTAACAGAAGATGCTGCTGGCATTACACGTTTACACAAATCAGAAACATCAGCTCTATCATCCTATAAAATACGGAGCTAAGAAAGTTCTTTAAAGGTGATGATTGATAATTTCATTTATGCGAGCTCCTGATGATGAGTATCAATGTTGAGGAAAGCTGACTAACATCACAATTCACATGAAGATACTTAATTATTCTAATTTACAGTAAGAGCAAGTGAGATCAAGGTTTCTAATCTGTTCTTATCTGCAGCATGTATCCAAGTCAGGGCTTCTACTCTTATGAAATCATGACTATGTCAGCCCAGAGAGGAATTTCTACATTTGGGTCAAAATGGATAGATTAGTATCTGAAAGATTAGGAAGACGATAACTCAGTAAATGACTCAAGTGTGATTTATTGCGAGCTCAATTGAGCAACTGTTCTTTGAATGCTGTTGGGGGATTAAATGAAAACCGGACAAGAATAAGGAGTATTAAGCTTCTGATTAAAGCTATCCTACAATAGCTACTTTAATGTATTGGTATAGAGCCTACTAAAACATGGAATAGGGACAGCTCCACAGCTTGGGTTTTGGAAACCAAATTAAATCTTCTGCAATAAGGCTAGACAATAGATGCGTTGGAAAGAAATCACAAAGTACAATTTAATTGTAGAAACGGACTTTTATTTATGGTAGAATAGGTTTACAACATATACTCCCTCCATTCTCTTTTATAAGAAAATTTAAACTTTTTAAATTCATTGAATAAATAATGTATTTAGACTATAGATAAGTTAGATACATCAATTATTAAATTAATCTAAAAAATTAAAATTTTCTTATAAAAGAGAATGGAGGGAGTACATAATTACAACATATACATAATTACAACATAAACTAAAGAAATAAATAGAATACTATTTAAAAGACAATTCCTATCAAAGAAATTCAAGAGTCTTGGTCTCTCTCCAAGAATACGAAAGCTTGGTCTCTCCCTCCAGGAATTAGAGAGTTTGGTCTCTCCCTCCAGGAATTAGAAAGCTTGGTCTCTCCCTCCCAAAACCATTCAAAAACTATCCCATAACTACTTTCTCTTTTACTTTCTATATTTATTCTAAAACAGCAACACATGTAACCCATAACTGCTACTAGGGGTGGCAAAGTGGGCGGTCTGCCCCGTTTAGGCCCGTACAAACGCGGGGCAGGGCGGGGTGGACAAACTTAGGCATCCGAGCTCAAAAGTCAAACCCGCCCCATTTACTAACGAGTTGGCGGGTTAGCAGGCCGGTCCGCCAATTTTTTTAGATTTTTTATTTTACAATTTAATTTATTACATAATTTTCAAAAATTTTAATCATTACTAAAGAAGACGACAAAAGATATTTTTTTTAACAACGCATAATATAACTTCAACATGTCTTAAGTCCAAACACTTATAAAAATAAAATAGATAAATTCAAGAAAAACATACCGAAATAGACTCTAGCACGATAAAAAAAGATATCAAAATAAATAAATAAACAACATATATCATCATAATCCTATTTAAAAACTAATTACTAAAAGAACCCAATTAATAATTTGCACAAGACAGACAATGATAACATTACATTGCATAAAACATCACTGTGCATAAAAAAGTAGTGTATAAAATATTAACACCTGACTTTCTCATTGTTTACGTCATATAGACTATTATATTAACTGATTCCTTAATAGTTATATCTTAAATTAGTCACATGTATACTCTAATCGAATTCTTCCTTTTCTTAAAATTAACATTTATTTCTAAAGAAAACATGTGAGCTAATGTATTGACAACTTAATAACTCTTCATGCCATAGAATTGTTCTTGTATTTCAAGTTTTTCCAACCAATACATGTATTAGAAAGTTATATAAAGAACCTTACAATTATAATTCAATTTGTCTATATAATAATTTAGAATGTAATTCAATCACAATAATCGAAAGAGAATACTGTTGTTTTTATAGTTAAAGTTGTCTTAATTCTAAGTAAAAAGTAAAAAGTAAAAAGTTGTAACAAAAAGTCCGCGGACAAAACCCGCCTAAGCCCGCTTTTTAAAACGGGTTAGGCGGGGCGGGCCAATTTAAGGTACCGAACCGAAAACCTCAGCCCAGCCCGTCAAAAATGGTGGGTCAAACGGGCTGGCCCGGCAGGTCCGACCCGTTTTACCACCCCTAACTGCTACACATAACCCATAACTGCTACACATAACTGACTTCAATAAAAATAACTTCCCATTACTGCCCATAATAAGAAGTCTATCATAATATTGACAGACAGAATTGGAAAGATGTCTAAGGAGAAAGCTCAACAAGTGAGAATGGACCAGTGAGCTCACTTAAGCCCAGTTATATCAACCCACCAAGAGTTGACAAAAACACCTCAGTGGATGAGGGATTACATGTGACTTGAGCAAAAGGAATGTGTTGCTATTCTGCCAGCTGACATAGGTTCCAACCAAACTAAGGAGTCATTTTGATTTCGTTTAGATTTGCTTCGATTATTCAATTTCAGTTGTAAGATTTTTAAGTTCTTACCACTACTGTATTAATCAAGAGCCACTAAGCAATTGATCTGTATCACCTATGAATGAAAGAGGAGAAAAAAATTAAACTCAATTCTACTGTTTTATACGCCATCTCCCTGGAGTCTGCTAACACTCGAAGCTAGAAGCTTAGTTCTTTCTTCATTTTTAATTCTAGCACTATCACAAAGATTAGACAATACAAACAGAACCATTTTGAAACTGGATGAAGAATACACAAATAACCATTCTTGGTATTTAGTAAAACTAAGAGATATATACTACGAGCATTTAACAAGTTTGACATCTCCTAATGCATCAGAGGTAGAAAATAGTATCATTCCGGTTGGTATTTTTAGTGGGTATTTTAAATTTTCTCATCAATCGAAACTAGTTAAACAGAAAGTTGAAGCTTATATCAGACGATATACAAATGAAGGAGTGAAATGGGATCATAATTTTCACGTGAGCAACATTAATAGATACCTTTCAAGAATCTGATATGGATCAACAACAAGCTCAAGCTTTCCATCAAGCCATATAGAGTAGCGGGCATTTGGAGCCATTCTATGCAGTAGAAGCTTTGGAATCTGTGGAAAAATTAGTAAGTTACAAGTACATAGAAGTAGTAAAGTACAACATGGTGAACAGTAAAAAAAAGCATGTGATGCTTTGCTATTCCAATTCATTCTTAAAAGCTAATATTATATATTTTGAATTAAAAAAAAAATCATCATAATGCGTAGACCAGAGGATCTAGCCAATATTATGTATATTGATCCAAGTCATTTTCCCCTTTCCATTTCCTTTCCATTTTTAAGGGTCAGTTGATAAGGCTTAAAGAAAACTCCAACGTAGATTACAGAGAGGCAGCAATGACCACAAGATCATATCATTAAAAAACTCAGCAACATATATTACTAATAGCATGTATGATAATATCTAGTTCACAGTAATATCATGACAATGCTTGCTGACATAATTCAGACCTTCCCTGTACGTCTTGCATCTGTATAAGGAAGATTCCGTGCAACAATAATTCTCCACAAACCAATCTTCTTGCTGGTTCCCAGTCTGCCAGAACTCGTCAAATACTTTTCTGTTTCTTCATCTACAAACATAAGGAAGCATACAGTGTTCTTTGAATGCTCGCTTACGTTTTTTGGCTCATTTATCTCATCAAAATTTCCTACACAAAAGATTTAATTCATCAGGAAAGTACAAGATTAAGCAACTCAATGAAAGTAGAAACAACAAAATACAGACCAAATACAGCTGACGCGACAACTATGCCACGGCATTGCTCCATATCAAGGAGGTCATCTTCATCCATGTCAAATCCTGTGTTGCGGCCAGGTTTAATTCCTCTAACAAATCTGAATGATGTATATATGCATCAATGAAGACGCAGAATAAACAGATGTGAGCAAAAGGAGAGGAAAAACATCCTACATTACTTACTGAGACAGACAAATTATAGCAGTAAAGACTATTCTTCAAGGCATAAAGATATAGGGAAACTTATAATACAACAATAACTAATACATACCCGCAGTGCACACACATTGACTCCCGTATATGAAAAGAATCATTTCTTTGGCTCAAAGTGGGATATCCACCAAAGTCCGAACCACCAAATTCTGCATCTCTGCTTAGATTTTCCTCGTAGGTAAACGTCAAATTCTTAAGCACTGGAGACGGTGAGGGAGACTTTGGCATGAGTCTAATGGCTTCATTCACAGGAAGGTAACATACCGGACATGCTAAAAAGCAAACATTTCAAGATGTTCAGGAACAACAACATAAACATTAAGTAATCCAAAGCATCGCCTAAGTCCTCCAGACCATCATGAACTATCCAAATACAAGGAACCAATCGGAATGAAGGATACTATTGTGAATTAACAAGCATAAATTAACCTAATACAGTACATCTGAGGCATCAATTAGTTTAAAAAAAAAAAACTAAAACTTACGTCGTGGCCCAGTACGCTTTTTATCAGCTGGTGGTGGAGGGAGTGTAAAACTATTACACGGATGCCCCGGAGGAAGATTATAACCCAGAAAATAACTTGGGGGTAGCAGCAAATTTTTAGCAATGGCCTTTGCCGCAGAGACGATAGATGGAGAATCATTTATAGACATACTCTCATTCACACTGATGTTTTGCACACCATTCCCCTCCTGTGAATCTTCACCTGAAAGCAAGCCATGCCACATAAATCAAATGTTGAAATCACGTGAACCCAATGGTGTTAAGTAGCAGCTATAGAAAATTTAACAAATTGCTCTTGGCTCGCAAAAAGCAAATAACAGTTATAGCACCGCGGCCCATCAGAATTTTAACAAACCACTATTTTCTGCAATCCGCAATTGACAACAATGCATGAATCACAAAGAACCTCTATGTTCTGCAATCCACAATTGACAACAATGCATGAATCACAAAAAACCGCTATTTTCTGCAATCCGCAATCGACAACAATGCACGGGTCACTAAAAAACGCTATTTTCTGCAATCCACAATTGACAACAATGCATGAATCACAAAAAAACAAGTTACTTCTATAATCCCCTTTAACAAACCAATCCTAAATTCAATAGTTAAAGGATAAATCTAATAAGTAATCACATTAATCAAAAGTTGAAATCAGACGAATCCAGTCTTGTTAGATAGCACCTATAGCATAACAAAATCATAACCAATCGCTCTTGTTCCGCAATATGCAAATAACATACATAGCACCATTACACAACAGAATTCAAACAAACCACAACTGTCCGTGATCCGCAATCGACAACAACGCGCATGAATCACAAAAAAAAAAAAAACATCTTCCCCTTCAACAAAACACTCCCAAATTCACCAATACATCCAATAAGTAATCACACGAATCAAAAACAAAATTTTGTAAAGTAACATACATAAATCATAACCCATACAAAAAAGTAACAAACCACCTAAAAGCTAAAAAGCCACTAGAGTACAAAACTAGAAAACAATGAAAAACTAGAGAACAATTAAAATAGAATAGAAAGTGAAAGAAAAGACGAAACCTTTTCCAACGTACAAAACCCATACGAAAACAGCAGCAGATATAACACAGAGAAACAGCATTCCCACCTTCTTCCTGCCAGCAAATTTACAGATCCAATGAAACAATCTCTCTTTCTCCTTAACCATCTTAACCTGTTTCCTCCCCGTTTGAATAGGCGACAACCCATTCTGCAATTGCTTCTCCAAAGATCCATAACTAGCAGAACGAATACCCAATGAACCACCACTCATCTTCTCTCTAAAACCTCACGATCATACCTCCCTCTCATTGCCCCCACATAAAATCCCTCATTTCAAACTTCCCCCAAACACACTCCACCAATTAATTTCCCCTCAATCAAATTTCAAAATTGCACTGCACCAATGCCACACTAGCCTTCAGCTTTTTCAACTAAACAAACCAAAATCGCAAAATTGGAGAATCCGAGAATCGATTGTATGCATGGGATGAATGAAATTAGAGTTTTAGCAGAAAAATTAGGGATCAGAAAAATGAATGTTATGCTGAGTTTGAAAACTGAGCAGTGTTGTTGTTGTTGTTGATCTCGGACAAGAGAAGAAAAGAAAAGAAAATATATTTATAAACAAAAATAAAAAATTCGTATTTTCGGACAGTATAGTAAGATAAATTGAATTAAACGAAGCGTGACATGACAGAGAAATACACGGTGTTATTCTATAACTCGTTACGAAACATTTGGCATCTTAATGTATATATTCATGCCGTCCATGAATGTAAATCTTTTTTTTTTCTACATTAGAAAATACTGTATGGTGAGTTAATTTGAAATCAGTTTTTTTTTTTTAAATAATTTTTAGAGTGTTATGTATTTTTGTTTTTAATTAACGTCTGAAAATTAATTGACATCAAATCATTCTTATTGATTTAATTTTTTTTAAACAAATGTTATTGATTTGATTTAATATAATGATTCAAGGTAAATATGAATGATTATATTAAATTAGCAGTTATGAAAAATTGATGTCAATTTGACTTTCACACGTCTTATGCGTATAACTTTAAACTTTTATATTTGAGAAAAATAAATATATATTAATAGTGTAAAATAATGAGACATGTATTTAATTAAAATATAATTTTAATTTCAAAAAATTGATTTGACTGAGTAAATATAAAGATTTTGATTAGTTGTATATGTAATATTTTATCATGTGAGAGTGTAATGTCAATGTAAATTTGTCCATATCAGTATTTTTAAATTAAAAATATGACTTGGTTAAATATATTTTCCTGATTGATTGACAATATAAAAATATTTTACAAGGTTAGTACATTCTCATTTATCTATCTTTTTGATCAAAGAAGTAATTAAATAATTAAAAAATGAATTACAAAAGGAGAAGGAGATCAAACCAATATCTTAAAATTTTGAGTTTTTTTTTCACAGCTAGTACACTTTTTCTAGACCTCTAGCAAAAAACCTAAGATATCCTCGAATTCGAAAGTGTATATTTGAACGCACCACCAATGTGATTTATTAAATTTATTTCGGATATGTATATTTGAATTCACCTGTTATCATATTTTGGATATGCATATCTGAATTTATCTCTGGGCAGAACAATCAATATTATTCAACATAATTTATAACATTCATTCAACATAATTCAAAGAAATTACATAAATAGTTCTACAGAAAATTAAAGTTACATATTGTTATAAACGAGAAGTAGAGGACGTTGCAATATCTTGATAACATCTTCTTCCGATCTTTGAAGCTTTGCATCCATCTCAATCGGACCCTTACAAGGATATCGTTGAAAGGTATCCCACATAACCTCTAAATCGTTGTCGTTCTTCAGCTGAAACATGGTGAATTTTACGTTTTCTTCAGTGTCAAGTTAGGTGAAGGATGCTCAAGTTTGATCACCTTTCAATTCTCTAGATATTGCAAGAGAGAATATAGTGTCGTAATGAGCTCGGCAAACGGCGTGTCCTGCGATAACCTGAATTAACGTGGCGTTTGTGCACCACTGAAGTAGACAAAAGCAAGGTGTGGATATGTTTGTGTCATTTCTAGTTGTGGTTTGTGATGGAGAATGAAATAGTTTGTAGACTCAATTTATAGCCTTTTTGGAGCAATATTGACCAAATAAATCTTATCAGAGCATATTTCAGAAGTACACATCCGAAAACATCGTGTTTTTTTATAGAAATAGGAGGTGAATTCGGAAGTGCATATGCAAAATAAGCCCTTGTGCTATTTTTTTTAAATTGAAGGTTACTTCGAAAGTACACTTCCGAATTATGCCGAACCAGAATCAAAATCATTATTTGTACCAAAGAGACATGGAAAACATAAACAAATATAAAACTAAATATAGAATATATGTTATATCTGTATTGAAACGCATAGATTTTACAATATATTCGTCAATACATTCAAAAAATAATTCGACTACATTCTAAAATGCACCGAACAAATTGTCATTGCTTATAAAGTTCACTATGCGCTGTCAATTCTGATACGATGGCTTTGACAATATTGTCAGGGTGCATCATACCTAACATGTTCAAAAAAACATAAATTTTGTTAAAATAGAATTCTGGTTTTGTAACAGACATATTTTCATATATGCACTTCTGAATTATGGTAGATTAAATTCGGAAATACATATCCGAAGCGACATTGTTTTCTTCTTCAACAAAACAGTTTCAATGCAGGAAATGTATGATAAAATAATAGAAGTTTACCTTAAATTGCAGCTTTTTATGCTCTCTTTGCTATACTTAAACACTTGAAACTTGATTTGGAGACAAAAATTCCATTGAGAATGATTGAGGTTTTGTCAAGGGTTTTGGTTATGGGAGAAAAGAAAATGAATGAAATAGTTGAAATAGGTGACCATGCAGCACTCTAATATGGAAAGGGAAGTTTCAGATATGCACATCTGAATTCACCTTTCAAAATGTTTCAGATGTGCATATCTGAAACTACCTTAAATATTTAAAATCCAGTGTTTAAGTATTAAAACGTGAAAAAATGGTGTCTTCGGATATGCACATCCGAAACATGCTGAGAGGTACGTTTGGATGTGCATATCCGAAGGGTATTTTCGAGTTTTCGGTGGTGAAAATTACCACTACTAGGTATAAAGAGAAATTCTCTAAAAAATTTAGGTAGACACAAACATAAGAAGTATTCTTACACATAATTAATCACAATATTTTTACTCCCCTTCATAATTACAATCATCCGATAAATTCAATTAAAAAAATTAAAATTTAAATAAATTTAAAATTAAATTAACTAAATAATTTGTAGAATGGTTTTCTTTCCTAAAAATGCAAGAAACCGTAAAAGTTTGTGTTGCAAATCAAAGTTTTACAAATGTTCCAAGCTACAAGTTTGTCTAACTATTCTAATGGACAACCTCGATAGTTCTCATAACACTAGATATCTCAGTCTTAGAGGCTGATGTGACACTAAGATTTTTGGTAAAGCAACCCAGAAGAAAAAAATGATTCTTCTTGAAAAAATCTCCCCCAAGAAGTTATGAGTATTAAAAATTCCATTTATATTGGCTTTAGTCCAACCAATAATTGTGGTGGTGGTGGGGGATGAATTTAATGGTCAAAGAAGTCTTGGAATAATGGATATAAACTTTAAACCTTTTAAGAATAGAGAAGTTGGATATTTAAGTTAAGGATGTTAGCTTAATCTTCTTGTCCATGATAGACACCCTTATAATGATGGAAACAATGTTGTCTTGCAATATGAAAAACTTTCTATGAAACCTAGCTTGGTTTCTTGTGTATCAGATGACATTTAACACATTGATGATGGAAGCCTTGATTACAAGATTATACTTAGGAGTCCTAGTTAAGGCATAACCCTGGGTATTTCATTTTCTTTGTAAAACTAGACTAGATATTAGTCTTAAGCTTACAATTAAAAAAATAAGATGTTTAGTGTTCTCTTCATGCTGGAAACACAAACGACACATAAAAGGAAAATTAAAACCTCTCTCCTTGATTTTGTCATCTAAGCGAAGCTTATCATGAATGAGCCTCTAAACAAATAAGTGTTGCAACTGACAAAAAAATATAGAGTCGCCACCGAACTTTATTTATCCCGAAGGAATGGAAAATATTAAGAAAACCCAAAAAAAGAAGGATAAGATGGTCTTGCGACCAAGAGAAAAGGTACAAAAGTCGATTATGCAAGGAGAAGGTATTAGCACCCCTTACATCCGTTGAACTCAAAAGGATCCACTTCGATTGTTTGTTTATAAAGGTGTGTCTATCTAAAACTATACTTGCTAAGGGAAATGAATGAATAAATTACAAGGAAGAAAGAGTTTTTATTATTGAGTTCGTGAGGATTTTGCAACCATGTGTCTACGTATCCCAAGAGGAATCAAAACTTCGTAGTTCTTCTCAAAAAATGTTGGTTTGTTGGTGTTTTTAATGGACAATGTCAATGTTCACACTCTAGCGTTAGGCACAACCTTCGATGCGGTGGAGTGGAAATAACATGCCCTTTTTGAAAAGCTTAAAGAGAAAAGGACCAAGAGGCAAAAAGGTTTGGATTTGTTGAATGTTTTTGTTAATTTTGAAATGAGTTTGATATGCTTAAGTATTTTGGGGTTTTTTGATTAACGAAAGAAGATTTTGTTTTAATTAGAAAGGATGCAATGCAAAATAAAAGTCTAAGGGAAGCTAAAAACCCTAATGTGATCATGCCAAGATGGACTTAAGATTGAGTTTTTGAAATGGGAACTTCATACCTAAGCATTATCATGTATGGTTTCGATCGTAATATCTAATTCAACATATAACAATCAAAATAAAATTAATCGCTTCATGAAATCACTTAAGGGAACATGTTAAGAAACAACAGAACACTTATCAAAATAAATGAAAGTACTACTAATATTTTTGTGTAATTGTTTTCAAGTAAAGAAATACAACTAAGCAAAAATAAATAAAATGATTAACTAAACTAAAAAAATTAAAATTACAAAGATACTAAATTAATTATAAGGCTAAACTACTTAGCAAAAATTATCTAATAAAAAATACTATATGATTATTTAATTAAATTTTAAAACTAAACCAAGAAGTTAAGAAAATTAAAAAAAATTAAGTATAATAAGGGTGTAAAGCAGAATAATGAGATGGAAATAACAGAAATTCAGAAATGGGCTTTTTAAAAAACATAGTAGGCCCGAGTATATTAAACAAAAATGAGACAGATAACAAAAAA